TACCTGTCTTACACTATAAGTTAACATTTCATACCCGTCTTACACTATCAGTTAACATTTCATACCTGTCTTACACTCTCAGTTAACATTTAATACCCGACTTAAACTACCAGTTAACATTTCATACCCGTCTTACACTATCAGTTAACATTTAATACCCGACTTAAACTACCAGTTAACATTTTATACCCGTCTTACACTATCAGTTAACATTTAATACCCGACTTAAACTACCAGTTAACATTACATACCCGTCTTACGCTATCAGTTAACATTTAATACCCGACTAGTAACTTTTATGCTGTTTTTATGGTAATGCTAAACGTGTACTTCGTATACACGTCGGGAATGTTCGACTCAAATTTGTACTCGTTTCTAATTCAACAATTAACTTCTATGCGTTAGTAATGTCTGATAATGGTCTAAAGATAATGTAATAACGCAGTGTTAAGTGCTGCGTAAATGTACAATTTCATTTTAAAGTCTGATTCTGTCGATGTCTACATTGTAAAGTCTGATTCTGTCGATGTCTACATTTGTCCCGGTCTGTTGTCGAATATCGCTACAATGTAGAGTACTTTTATTAGAGTTGTGAAAGTGGATATAATACAAAGAAAATGATATGCTTCTTCAGCTCTTTCATGTTATCAAAACTGAATATTTGATCGACACTTAAAACTTAAGCAGCGTTTGTGTTTCAATGTAGATATATTTGAAAGTAAACAAATGCGAAGGAATAAATAGATAGTAAGCGATTATGTACGTTACCTTTAAACAATGATATTCACATTCCCGCCAAACTTGGTACAGTATAGAGATTTCCCCTCCACAATACTCCGACTTCACTTGCTCGCCATGATACCCATATACTAGCTGTGACGGAACTGTTAGCCGACACTGAGCACGATGTCAGCCCGTCCGCGGGCGATCGATACCACACCACAAAGCAAGAGTTAATATTTTGTTGTCTTTTATTACAGAATACATATAACTGTTCCAGTTAAAAAATGAATTTTAATGAGTCCTCAGCTTTGATGCATGATAAAAATTGTACATTATAGTTATAAAATCTGCTAACCGAGCAACGCAAATAATTTTAGGCCCTGTGGAAATGTGAATTCTTACATAATAAGTTTTCTTCAATAGCTTATAAAACAACCGTTCATATCACTTTTTTTTTAAAGTTTGAAGGTATACTAATATGAAATTATTTACACGTGACTTTTTCCAATCAATAACTGTTTGGGTCTTTCCCGATCCCGCTTGAGTCTATAACAACAAATAAAACACTTAGAAAGGTGAAAGTAAACTTCTTTGTTGCTTCGACCTTAAATATCAGGAATGAACCGATTATTCTGAACATTAACAATGGTATTAAAACCCTTAGGCGTTGGAATAGTCATTCACTTCAATCGGCTGATCCTGCAACTTTAGCTTTGACTTGCAATCTCTGTTACCGCCATGAGTAAAATCATTGAGCTTAGTCTGTCATATTGTAAAATTAGGTACAGTAAAAAACCGTTTAGCCTTGCTGTGTAAATCATGTCACAGCCATACGTTAATGGTATTTACATAGCTTTAGGAAATCACTATAAATACAGGTAAATGCATACAGGTATAAAGTACATAGATGTAGGTAGCCAAACAACGTCACTGAATCTATTGGCAATTTCGTCGAGTACGGATTAATCGATGATTCTAAATGTCAAATTGAAGTTAATAAATCGAGAAATTTATAAACTACTGATAAAAGATCATTTACTTTTGAACCAGTGTGTCATTTTTAAGCTATTAAAAGTACACGTGTTGAACAACGTCACCACCATACGTGCTACTGATCGATGGCGACATGCAACTGATCGATGTTAATAAAACGGTACAGCTCCTAATTATTTGTGTGACACCTTACCAGATAGCATTGGGGATATTTCTCGTTATAACCTAAGAAATTCCCAACATTTAAGATAACCAAACTTTAGGCTTGAAACAATGCGCAATTCTTTTTTCCCATCAACTACAAAAATGTGGAATGACCTAGATATATCTATAAGGAATTCGGCTTCTCTCAGTTCATTTAAATCAAATATAAAATCAAAAGGTAAACCACAAAATAAATGCTTTCTGGTATGGGGTTCCCGTAAATCAAATATACTTCATTGCCGTTTGAGAAATCGTGCGAGCTCCCTTAACTATGACCTATTTAGAGCAAATTTATCAAATACAGCTGAATGTGCATGCGGTAATCCATGTGAAGACTCTTATCACTTCCTTTGTGTCTGTCCCTTATACACCCAGCATCGTAATCTATTAATAAGAGAGCTTCAACCTGTTCGTGATGATTTAACTTTAGACTTGCTCCTATATGGCGATCCTAAATTCAGCATTAATGTAAATACCTCAATTGCAAAATCTGTCCAAAATTATATCAGCAAATGCAACAGGTTTGACTGAATGTGATCATCTTTCTCTCTCTATCACTCTTTTTTTTTCTCCGACTCTACCTGTGTTACTATCATTTACTTCATTACTCTATCCGTCTTTTCTTCCACTCTTCTACTCTATCTGTGTTACTATCCTTTACTTCGTTTCGCTCTCCTTCTTTTCGTCGTCTCTATTTTCCATTTCCATATAAAAACATAATTAATGTATATTGCGTAAATTACCTTATCAAGTTATTGTTTATACTCATGTATTTGAAGAAAAGGACTTTGATAAGTTGGTAAAACTTGTGTCCAATTCTTTTGTAAATATTTATTTGCAATAAAATATGTTTAAATCAAAACTGATCGATGGCGACAAGCTACTGATTGACGTCGACAAGCTACTGATCGATGGCGACATGCTACTGATCGATGGCGACATGCTACTGATCGATGGCGACATACTACTGATTGACGTCGACAAGCTACTGATCGATGGCGACATGCTACTGATCGATGGCGACAAGCTACTGATCGATGGCGACATCCTACTGATCGATGGCGACATGCAACTGATCGATGGCGACATACTACTGATTGACGTCGACAAGCTACTGATCGATGGCGACATGCTACTGATCGATGGCGACAAGCTACTGATCGATGGCGACATCCTACTGATCGATGGCGACATGCAACTGATCGATGGCGACATACTACTGATTGACGTCGACAAGCTACTGATCGATGGCGACATGCTACTGATCGATGGCGACAAGCTACTGATCGATGGCGACATGCTACTAATTGACGTCGACAAGCTACTGATCGATGTCGACATGCTACTGATCGATGGCGACAAGCGACTGATCGATGGCGACATGCTACTGATCGATGGCGACAAGCTACTGATGGATGGCGACATACTATTGATTGACGTCGAAACTTGTGTCCAATTCTTCGACATGCTACTGATCGATGGCGACAAGCGACTGATCGATGGCGACATGCTACTGATCGATGGCGACATCCTACTGATTGATGGCGACATACTACTGATTGACGTCGACAGGCTACTGATCGATGGCGACATGCTACTGATCGATGGCGACAAGCGACTGATCGATGGCGACATGCTACTGATCGACGGCGACATGCTACTGATTGACGTCGACATGCTACCGATTGATGGCGACATACTACTGATCGATGGCGTCATACTACTGATTGATGGCGACATACTACGGATCGATGGCGACATACTACTGATTGATGGCAACATGCTACTGATTGACGTCGACATGCTACCGATTGATGGCGACATACTACTGATCGATGGCGTCATACTACTGATTGATGGCGACATACTACGGATCGATGGCAACATGCTACTGATCGATGGCGACATGATTGATGGCGACATGCAACTGATCGATGGCGACATGCAACTGATTTATGGCGACATGCAACTGATCGATGGCGACATGCAACTGATTTATGGCGACATGCAACTGATCGATGGCGACATGCAACTGATTTATGGCGACATGCAACTGATCGATGGCGACATGCAACTGATTTATGGCGACATGCAACTGATCGATGGCGACATGCAACTGATTTATGGCGACATGCAACTGATCGATGGCGACATGCAACTGATTTATGGCGACATGCAACTGATCGATGGCGACATGCAACTGATTTATGGCGACATGCAACTGATCGATGGCGACATGCAACTGATTTATGGCGACATGCAACTGATCGATGGCGACATGCAACTGATTTATGGCGACATGCAACTGATCGATGGCGACATGCTACTGATCGAAGACGACATGCTACTGTTTGATGGCGACATAATACTGATTGACGTCGACATGCTACTGATTGAGGGCGACATACTACTGATCGATGGCAACATGCTACTGAGCGATGTCGACATACTACTGATCGATGGCGATATGCTACTGATCGACGGCGACATGCTACTGATCGACGTCGACATGCTACTGATCGACGTCGACACACTACTGATCGATGGCGATATGCTACTGATCGACGTCGACATGCTACTGATTGATGGCGACATACTACAGATCGATGGCAACATGCTACTGATCGATGGCGACATGATTGATGGCGACATGCAACTGATCGATGGCGACATGCTACTGATCGAGGGCGACAAGCTACTGATGGATGGCGACATACTATTGATTAACGTCGACAAGCTACTGATCGATGTCGACATGCTGCTGATCGATGGCGACAAGCTACTGATCGATAGCGACATCCTACTGATTGATGGCGACATACTACTGATTGATGTCGACATACTACTGATCGATGGCGACATACTACGGATTGATGGCAACATGCTACTGATTGATGGCGACATGCTACTTATCGATGGCGACATGCTACTGATTGATGGCAACATGCTACTTATTGATGGCGACATGCTACTGATTGATGGCAACATGCTACTTATTGATGGCGACATGCTACTTATTTATGGCGACATGCTACTGATTGATGGCGACATGGCGACATGCTACTAATTGACGTCGACAAGCTACTGATGGATGTCGACATGCTACTGCTCGATGGCGACAAGCGACTGATCGATGGCGACATGCTACTGATCGACGGCGACATGCTACTGATCGACGTCGACATACTGCTGATCGATGGCGACATGCTACTGATCGATGTCGACATACTGCTGATCGATGGCGACATGCTACTGATCGAGGGCGACAAGCTACTTATCGATGGCGAGATTCTCCTGATCAATGGCGACATGCTACTGATCGATGGCGACAAGCGACTGATCGATGGCGACATGCTACTGATCGACGGCGACATGCTACTGATCGACGTCGACATACTGCTGATCGATGGCGACATGCTACTGATCGAGGGCGACAAGCTACTGATCGATGGCGACATGCTACTGATCGACGGCGACATCCTACTGATTGATGGCGACATCCTACTGATTGATGGCGACATGCTACAGATTGATGGCGACATGCTACTGATTGATGGCAACATGCTACTTATGGATGGCGACATGCTACTGATTGATGGCGACAAGCTACTGATCGATGGCGATATGCTACTGATTGATGGCAACATGCTACTTATTGATGGCGACATGCTACTGATGGATGGCGACATGCTACTGATTGACGTCGACAAGCTACTGATCGCTGGCGACATGCTAATGATCGATGGCGACAAGCTACTGATCGATGGCGATATGCTACTGATCGACGTCGACATACTACTCATCGATGGCGATATGCTACTGATCGACGTCGACATACTACTCATCGATGGCGATATGCTACTGATCGACGTCGACATACTACTCATCGATGGCGATATGCTACTGATCGACGTCGACATGCTACTGATCGACGTCGACACACTACTGATCGATGGCGATATGCTACTGATCGACGTCGACATGCTACTGATCGACGTCGACATACTGCTGATCGATGGCGACATGCTACTGATCGAGGGCGACAAGCTACTGATCGATGGCGACATGCTCCTGATCGACGTCGACATGCTACTGATCGACGTCGACATACTACTCATCGATGGCGATATGCTACTGATCGACGTCGACATGCTACTGATCGACGTCGACATACTACTCATCGATGGCGATATGCTACTGATCGACGTCGACATGCTACTGATCGACGTCGACACACTACTGATCGATGGCGATATGCTACTGATTGATGGCAACATGCTACTTATTGATGGCGACATGCTACTTATTTATGGCGACATGCTACTGATTGATGGCGACAAGCTACTGATCGATGGCGATATGCTACTGATCGATGGCGACATACTACTGATTGACGGCGACATGCTACTGATTGATGGCGACATGGCGACATGCTACTAATTGACGTCGACAAACTAATGATCGATGTCGACATGCTACTGAGCGATGCCGACAAGCGACTGATCGATGGCGACATGCTACTGATCGATGTCGACATACTGCTGATCGATGGCGACATGCTACTGATCGATGTCGACATACTGCTGATCGATGGCGACATGCTACTGATCGATGGCAACAAGCTACTGATCGATGGCGACATACTACTGATCGACGGCGACATGCTACTGATCCACGGCGACATGCTACTGATTGATGGCGACATACTACTGATCGATGGCGACAAGCTACTGATTGACGTCGACATGCTACTGATCGATGGCAACATGCTACTGATAGATGGAGACATACTACTGATCGATGGCGACATGCTACTGATAGATGGCGACATGCAACTGATCGATGGCGACATGCTACTGATCGACGTCGACATGCTACTGTTTGATGGCGACATACTACTGATTGACGTCGACATGCTACTGATTGATGGCGACATACTACTGATTGACGTCGACATGCTACTGATCGATGGCGGCATACTACTGATCGATGGCGACATTCTACTGATCGACGTCGACATGCTACTGATTGAGGGCGACATACTACTGATCGATGGCACCATGCTACTGATCGATGGCGACATCCTACTGATTGATGGCGACATGCTACGGATTGATGGCGACATGCTACTGATTGATGGCAACATGCTACTTATTGATGGCGACATGCTACTGATTGATGGCGACATGCTACTGATCGATGGCGACATGCTACTGATCGATGGCGACATGCTACTGATCGATGGCGACATGCTACTGATCGACGTCGACATGCTACTGATTGATGGCGACATGCTACTGATTGACGTCGACATGCTACCGATTGATGGCGACATACTACTGATCGATGGCAACATGCTACTGATCGATGGCGACATGCTACTGATCGATGGCGACATACTACTGATCGATGGCGGCATACTACTGATCGACGGCGACATACTACTGATCGATGGCGACATCCTACTGATTGATGGCGACATGCTACAGATTGATGGCGACATGCTACTGATTGATGGCAACATGCTACTTATTGATGGCGACATGCTACTGATTGATGGCGACATAGTATTGATCGATGGCAACATGCTACTGATCGATGGCGACATGCTACTGATCGATGGCGACATACTACTGATCGATGGCGGCATACTACTGATCGACGGCGACATAGTACTGATCGATGGCGACATCCTACTGATTGACGGCGACATGCTACTGATCGATGGCGGCATACTACTGATCGATGGCGACAAGCGACTGATCGATGGCGACATGCTACTGATCGATGGCGACATTCTACTGATCGATGGCGGCATACTACTGATCGATGGCGACAAGCGACTGATCGATGGCGACATGCTACTGATCGATGGCAACATGCTACTGATCGATGGCGACATGCTACTGAGTGATGGCGACATGCTACTGATCGATGGCGACATTCTACTTATCGATGGCGACATGCTACTGATTGATGGCGACATGCAATTGATTGATGGCGACATCCTACTGATCGATGGCGACATGCAACTGATCGATGGCGACATACTAATGATCGATGGCGACATGCAACTGATCGATGGCGACATACTAATGATCGATGGCGACATGCAACTGATCGATGGCGACATGCTACTGATCGACGGCGACATGCTATTGATCGACGCCGACATGCTACTGATCGACGGCGACATGCTATTGATCGACGCCGACATGCTACTGATCGACGGCGACATGCTATTGATCGACGCCGACATGCTACTGATCGACGGCGACATGCTATTGATCGACGCCGACATGCTACTGATCGACGGCGACATGCTATTGATCGACGGCGACATGTTACTGATCGACGGCGACATGCTACTGATCGATGGCGACATGCTGCTGATCGATGGCGACATGCTACTGATTGATGGCGACATCCTACTGATCGATGGCGACCTGCTACTGATCGATGGCGGCATACTACTGATCGATGGCGACAAGCGACTGATCGATGGCGACATGCTACTGATCGATGGCGACATGTTACTGATTGATGGCGACATACTACTGATTGATGGCGCCATACTACTGATTGATGGCGACATACAACTGATTGATGGCGACATACTACTGATTGATGGCGACATACAACTGATTGATGGCGACATACTACTGATTGATGGCGCCATACTACTGATTGATGGCGACATACAACTGATTGATGGCGACATACTACTGATTGATTACGACATGCTACTGATCGATGGCGACATACTAATGATCGATGGCGACATGCTACTGATCGACGGCGACATGCTATTGATCTACGGCGACATGCTACTGATCGACGGCGACATGCTATTGATCGACGGCGACATGCTACTGATCGACGGCGACATGCTATTGATCGACGGCGACATGCTACTGATCGACGGCGACATGCTATTGATCGACGCCGACATGCTACTGATCGACGGCGACATGCTATTGATCGACGGCGACATGCTACTGATCGACGGCGACATGCTATTGATCGACGCCGACATGCTACTGATCGACGGCGACATGCTATTGATCGACGCCGACATGCTACTGATCGACGGCGACATGCTATTGATCGACGCCGACATGCTACTGATCGACGGCGACATGCTATTGATCGACGCCGACATGCTACTGATCGACGGCGACATGCTACTGATTGATGGCGACATGACACAGCTGTTTACTACAGATTTATCTCGAACATGTGACATCACGTAGGTGATAACGACATACCTTACTAGGCCAAAGTTAACCTGACGCGTGTGTTAACTGTGTGTTATAAAAAACGATAATACAATAGCAGTATTGGAGAAGGTTATTTAGTGGTGACGATATCGTTATAGCTCCAACTACGCCACATTTTTCATGTTAATTAAACCATTTTGAACATTCCATGATATTGCTTAAGCGTAAAATCACATGCAATCACCGAACCACGCGCCATCATGGGAAATCATTGAAAACCTGTATTCCTCCTTAAGATATGTCCCAAGCTGACAATATTCGTAGGGACAAAGGAAGGCATCTATGTGTAAACATGTGGTGTTTGGGTTCTTTTGCAATAGATGACGAATACCATATATCTTTGATTTAGTGGGTATTTATTTCCCCTGTATGTGGTACCGGGGATCCACTAGTATAATCTGCCAGGTATGTATATTTCGTAAGTATGTATATATGGCGATGTTGCCTCTACCAGGAGCAGATAGGAAGTGAATGGAAAAGAAAGGACAGAGAAGCAAAGAAAACATTGAAGCGGGAAATATCACGCAATGCGACAGGTGTCAGAGGTCAGTTTGTCACTGGTCAAACAGGTATACAACATTCACAATTACGTCACACTCTCATACATTCCATTCAAAACGAAAGTAACACACGAGACTAGGCGACAGCGATTGCGGATGCGGAGCGCGGATTACGGATTAAAATCAACGACACATTGTTAGACAAAGTAATCCTAATAAGACTCAATATATTTTAGTGAATCTTTAGGAATATAAGGAATTAAAATGAATTAACAAATCTAACCGGGTGCCACAT